AAGCATTCATATTTATGATTGTTATTGCAATGTTTGTTTTTTTAAGTTGTTAAGCTCAAATATTTAACGATGCTATATGGGAATGTTTACGGATATTTTATGGTCGTTATGCTCGCTATGAGCTTATTTAATTTTTAACTCGCCCTGTTGGATGATTCTTAAGAATACACTGACTGCACCTCTGTAGAGGAGTAAGACCCCCTCCAATGAGGCGTCCTGGATATGGCAATAAAATATATCCGAGAACAAGGTCTCTGATCAGGAGGTTTTGAGGAGCGTGGAACCACGTCTTAATTACTGGTGTTCCCAGGTCTACCGTCACCCGATGTAGTAGCACTAGTTAGGGTCTCACCTATGGGTAAATAGTTAACCCCCAAACTGGGGTGAAAATACTGTGTGAAAATAATTTTTAATACCAGCAATACATTTTTGATAAAATTATTACCAGCAATAAAAATCTTGTCGGCGGTAAATACCCCATTGAGGTTGATATGCCGTAAAATGAAACAAACCAAACGTGTGTCAGGACACATGGCACAGTGGATAAAGGCGTTGGTTAGATCCAGTGACAGGACCCAAAGAATGTGAGTTCAATACCCGGTTAAGGTAGTGGAGAACTTTCAGAGGGAAATTAGCAGGAGATAACTGATAACTGACATCCATCAAACATGGCACGTAGAACTAGAACAGTCTACCCCAGTAAGCGAAATAAAGGGTTCAGTTCGAAATTCCAACCACCTGAAGAAGGCCGGAGCGCACAACGGCCGAAACGTTGTGATAAATATGGCGACAAAGATAAGGACAATAGTCCGAATAATGTAAATAATGATATAATTAATCGTTATCTTTATTCCTTCGCCGCGATTCGCTATAATGTTTCATTCGCCGTGACTGCTATAATTTTAATATCAATATTTCTTTTTGTATCTTTTTTTCGTTACAATTTTTGAGGATCATTCTTTTAATCTTTCGGTGTTTTATGGTTAGCACCAACATGGCTATGCTGTATTTGTTTGTCTTTTTGTGTAACAAATGTTTGCTTTTTTTCTTTTGTTTTGTTGCCTTTATGTTCCTGTCTTTTAGTTTGTCTCTCTCCAACAATACTATTTTGATATTCCGTTGGGGAACAATTCTCCATGTTATTTCTGTCTTATAGTATCTATTATTAGTATTAACCATTGCAATCGAGACAAAGGTAGCAATGGCTGTCTTGAGTAGACATTACAAGAAAAACCTTCGATGTTGTTTCGTCCGCCATTTTACTATTTTTCTCGACTATTTCTTTGGTTTTATACGCAAACTGTTTTTTTTAACCAATCGTATCTTTTCATTACAAGTTTCCGAAAGAAGTAAGGGTAGTTAGTCTGTGTTACTTATCTTCCTTTCTTTCTTCTCGTTTCTTTTTTAATGGCAATAATAGTTTCACTATAAATGATATTTATGTCATAAGGTTACTTTTTTTTTTTTTTTTTTTTGAAAATAAGTATTGGCAATGTTTGATCCGGTAAGAAAATATTCGTTTTTCTTCTTGGACGTTTGGTTTTTTTTGTTTTATGAGTAACTGGGCGCTTCAAATCAGCTTCTGGCCAACAGACTACACTTTTACCATTAATTCGGAACGATTATATAGAATATATTGATTGGTCTGCTTATAAGAAAGTCAGTTTACTCTGTTTTGTCGCCAGAATCCGTCTTGCATTTTTATAAACCTACCATTCGTCTGTGTGTTCATGAGACGAATGTTATCAAAGATGGCCTGTTATCTCGACTTGAATCACTTTGTCAACGCTGTATCATATCTTCCATGTAAGATTTTCTGTAAATGTCTTCATGTCAATTTTTTTATTCGTTTTCATTGTTGGAATCTCGATTTTATGAATTTAAACGTTTTCTCAGTTTGTTTCACCATCAGTAATCCCTTGAATCTTGGTGGCTTTATCCCCTTGTTTAGGATGAAATGATTATATAAGTTCCGTTATTACCGAGGATACTTGTACATAATATTTTTTCTTAATAATTAGCATTTGGCAAGTCAGATTTTCATAATTAGTCTATAGCTATCTGAATATCTCTGTCAATTAACAAGGTGTTCTGTTTTAATCGTTATATATATATATATATATATATATATATATATATATATATATAAAAAGAGACAGCATGTTTTCATTTAAATGTTTCGTTGTATAGTTTAAGGCATATTCTGTCTACTTATTTTCAATAAGATCCTTTCATGCTTCGGATAAGTTTTTGAATGTCATTACTGAAAGACAAGAGAAAATCGCCGTGTTTATAAATATATATATATATATATATATATATATATATATATATATATATATGTGTGTGTGTTTGTTACGAAGAACTTTCGACATATCCATGTCATCATCAGGGTATTTATAATAAAATAAATATTGTAGTATCCATTATATACATGGTCAGCAACCTTTCTTTCAAACAACTTTCGTTAAATATGACAGATAAGGACAATGTTCCACTTAGTTTTTTTTGCAGTGTTCTTATAGTTTTCCGTTTGATGGATGTATGGGAGTATAAAAATTGTCCATTGTCCCAAGAATTTTGGCGACTTCTTTAGCTATTTTCAAGAGTGTTGTTTTGGGGCGGGGGTTGTTTGTTTTTTGTTTTTTTGGTGTTGTTAATTTCTCTTCATTTTTGACTGTTTCAGATGTATTTTATTTTAATGTTGATTTGAATACTAGCGTTTATTCCGAGTCTAGAATTCGAGTGTCTTTCTATTTATGTAAAACCATTCAACACTCAGTTTCCACTGTTAAATAAGGTGAAATTGACCGTAGGCGAGAGACGTCTAATTTACTGACTTCTAGTATAGCGAGATGTTTTCAGTATGATTCATATAGAATTTTTGTGTTTTCCACCAGAAATTTCTTCAGGTTTCTTATACATTGTGAGTAGATAGATGTTTTTTATAACACTTTGATCTGTTTCAGTGAGCTAAAGAAAGAATATGTGATAGAAGTGTTTAACGTCTGTTTCCATGAAATGGAACAAATGGGCCGTCTACTTAAGGAGGTAGTAGTATGTCCGATAGAGGTAATTGTTATTTGACAAGATATAGTCTAGCATATTTGAAGTCTTGCAAAACATTTTTAATATTGGTCTTCTAATTCGTTTTTTTTTAACTTTTTTAATTCATTTATCCTAAAAAATCGGAAATAACACACAAGATATTGTATAGCACGAATAATAGGATCTAAATTTTATATATATATATATATATATGATATATATATAAAAATATATAAAAATTGAAAATTCATATAAAAATTAAAATCTTCAGACACACTGGGTTGTAGATTAATATTCTTTCGTTTTTTTTATTATTTCATTTAGATTGCTCGACTAGTTTCGTCCAAAATGTCCATCATCGGGAGAAGGAATATTTCCGCTTGCTGGTAGCAGTAAACTACAGAAATGAATGTCTTGATAGAGAAAATGAACTTTTGTCTGTAGTTTGCATTTTTTTATTTTTTAACATGAATCTTTTAACATTCTTTGTGTTGGTCAAACAGTCTCTTTTAAGTTGTTATTTGAGATAAGAGCTGGATGGATCTATGCTTCTCTGAATTCCTTTGGTCAGTTTGACAGCTTTATTAGACCTGGAGAGGGGATGTGTCTCTGTTTAGTGTTTGTGTGTGTGTTATTTGGTTCTTAGGGAGTGAGTATGATATGTGTAAGTGGGTGAGTTATCATTTGGCTCATTAGGGAGTGAGTGAGTATCATGTGTGTAAGTGTGTATATTCATGTGGGTGTATGTATAAATGTGAGGCTTCAACACCTCCGTAAACATGTCTGTCTTGTGTGGGTGAGAAATGTGGGTAGGTTTTGATTTGTTGAGTTATATATTAGTACTATCTATATTGTTAAATTTATGGTTTAGCCCGGGTGGATATTGTGTTTTTAGACGTTGTATCCACTTATTTTCATGGAACTCTAAAATCTTTCTAATGTTATCTGCTCTGAATTTTTCTATTCTCTCAATTATAGTGAATTTGGCATGGTTTTTGAAATCGTGTTTTTCCAGGCGGAAATGTTGTTCTACAGGTAATAATTTTTCATGGGGAGTCGACTTAATTCGATTGCGATAATTATTAATTCTGTAGTGAAAGGGCCATTCAAATTTTCCTACATATTGTTTCTCGCATAGTGTGCATTATTTATATATATATATATATATATATATATATATATATATATATATATATAATTTTGAAAATCCAACGTTACAAATGCTGTAGTACAGTAATTGTGATGGGTGACTTATTCTACTCTCCAGCTCCTTTCTCACATTTTAATTTTGCTCGCGAAGACCATCCTCCTTCAAATTTTACGAACTGGCGCTGCATAATAACAAGCAAAGAACTGCACCAAATAACAGAAACCGTATCACTTGAAGACTTTCAATAGCTGCAACAACAAAAATGCATAGTGCATATAGCTTCATGATAAAATAATGACTTAAGCACTCCTTCCAAAGAAAAGTTTAGGAGAAAAAAACATTAGCACTTTAAAGTGCGACAACAGTTAATGGACATGAGAATCATTTTCTTGAAAAAAAAAAACTAGATATATTTTATAAATTTCAAACGGAAATAGAACGGGTTTCTGGACCAATAATGACCGAATGTTTCCTTTTGAGGAAACGGCTAATATTACCATTAGCATTTTCTCCGTTTAGTTTTGTTATACGTTATTATGTTTAGTAAATATCAACACAATGCATTTTTAGAATAAATACCCCCTCAGATAGAATTGGATTCCCTCAGTATTGACAAGTTATAACAGCCAAATTTTACAGCTTATCGACTACTGAGAAAGAATTGTTTTACTCTTTTGGCAATTCAGCCATTTCTCTTATGCATCAACTATGTTGACATGCCATATTCAGTAGATATTTCTCAAGTTGTCCCGTGAGAGCACAGTTCAGGAGGAACTGGGAAAATAAGTTCTTGCCTATAAAAATGGTACGAACAATAAGCATCAGCTTGATTTGAAACCGGGTCGACAATTCTGAATTTCCTTGTCTATCAGATTTTCGTAAGCTTCTCTTCACCACATAAAGAATCCATTTATACGGTTATAACTCTCCACGGCTTCCAGTTGTTATTGTCACTAATATTTTTTCTTTTTTCCGTGATGTATCTCTCAATCTGTTTACACGAATTTCCAAGTAGAGTGTTATGAGGCTGCGTGTTCTTTGGCTTTTGTATAACTTTTGTATAATAAATGATTCAAGACAACAACAAAACTCCAAATGTGAATCAATAAGTATATATTGAAATAACATACATGAATGAAATAAACAATAATATCGTGTGCAATGTGTAGATTAAGGTAAAAGAAGTTGCTTCCCTTTTACCATATTTTGATTTGTATTTGATTGTCCGAAAGAAAGTTCTCGTGAGAGAAAAATGTTTAGGAATCATTATTATGACAAAGGACTGTTTGTTAGAATAGATAACACAAGAATACAATTGATCAGAAAGTGTGTTGTGTCAGAGAAATTAAGAGTCCTGGTTTATTCAACTTGGCTGAGTCATAGATATATATATATATACGTATTACAAAATTCTGTGTCTGTATGTGCCTTTGAAATGTTGTGAGTAAAGTCATAGGTTTGTGTTAACAGGCGAAATTTGCTGGACTCTACTGGAGATTTGCGAAAAAGTCGGTAAGAGTTGTTGGCAATGTTCTTTAACGTCTGACCGCACGTTTAAGACGGGAGCTCTTGAAGACTACATCTTGGCAGCAAGGAAAACGATGAACGAAGAGAACGAGGGAGGTTTATTCCTGTTTTGTTTATATAGCGTTGTGTCTCACGTGACAGGCTCCAAGCCTTGTGCGCGTGAAAATATTATTACTCGCGTGCAGGCGATATGATTGGTCGGAATTGACCAATCAGCGAGCTAATTTTGAGGAGATTATCCAATGAATGCTTCTCGTATGATCTGTATGTATGTATGTATGTATGTGTGATGGCGATGATGATCGCTACAACTGTAATGATTGCTTTCCTTTTTTGCGTGTGTCCTGTGAGTGTTAAATTTTCCAAAAATTCTTTCCACATTATTTTCGCAAAACTTCAAATCTCTTCTGCTCCTATTGTCATTAGCATTTTCTCATTCTTCACATTTTCTGACAGTGGTCTTTTCAAAATTCGTCTTTAGTATTAGAAGAACCAAATCTCGTCTCTTTTAAGTGTGTGTTTTTTATGATGGCGTTGTCCAGCATTCACTGCATTGGCGGTCTATTACTCTTTTCTTCGTTTCTGATATTTTTTATCATTGAAATCTTTTTTATGTCAACGAATACTCGCTGTCACTGTCGTAATGCTCGTTGTAGTAGAGACTTTGTAATCGCAGCTACAACTATAGTAACGCCGTTGAACAACACTCGCACTAATAGTACTTGCTCGATAAGTAACCCATATAGAAATAGAGATCCGAATAGTAATAGAGGATAGAATAGAAATGGCGATCAATCTAGACGTTGCGCGGCTTCCTATATATGCGTTTCCTCTATGGTCACGTGATCCACTTAATTCAGTAAGAAGATCGTCTGTATTTGCTCACTGGCGATCTATGTTCAAATTCACTTTATTCCTATATAACAAAATCTTATAAATTATCCAGAGGATTCCTTCCAGTGCACGTTCCGATTTCTGTATCATGCTTCCTGCTGTATGAAGTTATGCTGCCAGGAGAGTTGAATTTCGACGGTTGTTTAATGTTGACGCCGCGCATTGTGTAAAACCCATCTTAAGTTATCCCTTCTCTCACTATTAATCAGCTCGTCTTACAATTAATGATCATTCATTCCTCTTCTGTTCTCTTTACTACGATGTATAAATTGTATTTCATTTTCTCTTTTGTATTTGCTATAAATACTCTGTCATCAACGTAGACTGTTGTTAAGGTTACGTCTACGGATAATAAATCCTTGTCGATCTTCTAATTCCCTGAGAATTATGTATTCAAATTTGTAATATTGTTTCTTTTTCGTTTTTCGTTTGCTGTTTTATCCGAATTTCAATATTTATTTAATTCTATTTTTACTCCTCCTCTTTTTCCTAAGAATAAATATTTTCTCCCTTTTTATAATCAATTCTTTATTCTTTTACTGATTGTTGGATTTGCTGACATGTGTTGTCAGTTTTTTTTTATTATTATTCATTCTTCATTTCCTCTAATTTGTAAATCTCTCTCCTTTCTTTATTACACTCTTTTGTCCTTGATCTTTTCTTTTCCTAATCTTTTGTCCTTGCTCTCCTTTCTTTTCCTACATTCTTTGTCCTTGCTCTCCTTTCTTTTCCTATCTTTCCTTGTCTTTTCAGTCCTTGTTCCTTTCTTTTCCTATTTGTCCTTGCTCTCCTTTCTTTTCCTACATTCTTTTGTCCTTGCTCTCCTTTCTTTTCCTACATTCTTTTGTCCTTCTTTTTCTTTTCCTACATTCTTTTGTTTGCTGTTTTTTCCTAATTTTTTGTCCTTGCAATATTTATTTAATTCTTTTTTACTCCTCCTTTTTTCCTTGCTCTCCTTTCTTTTCTCATTTTTTGTCCTTGCTCTCCTTTCTTTTCCTACATAATCCTTGCTCTTTTCTTTTCCTACACTTTTGCTCTCCTTTCTTTTCCTACACTGTTTTGTCCTTGCTTTTTCTTTTCCCACACTGTTTTGTCCTTGCTCTCCTTTCTTTTCCTACACTGTTTTGTCCTTGCTCTCCTTTCTTTTCCTACATTCTTTTGTCCTTGCTCTCCTTTCTTTTCCTACATTCTTTTGTCCTTGCTCTCCTTTCTTTTCCTACATTCTTTTGTCCTTGCTCTCCTTTCTTTTCCTACATTCTTTTGTCCTTGCTCTCCTTTCTTTTCCTACATTCTTTTGTCCTTGCTCTTCTTTTCCTACATTCTTTGTCCTTGCTCACATTCTTTTTGTCCTTGCTCTCCTTTCTTTTCCTACATTCTTTTGTCCTTTCTTTCCTTTTTTTGTCCTTGCTCCTCCTTTCTTTTCCCACATTCTTTTGTCCTTGCATTCTTTTGTCCTTTCTCCTTTCTTTTCCTACATTCTTTTGTCCTTGCTCTCCTTTCTTTTCCTACATTCTTTTGTCCTTGCTCTCCTTTCTTTTCCTACATTCTTTTGTCCTTGCTCTCCTTTCTTTTCCTACATTCTTTTGTCCTTTTTCTTTTCCTACATTCTTTTCCTTGCTCTCCTTTCTTTTCCTACACTCTTTTGTCCTTGTCCTTTTCCTACTCCTTTCTTTTTTTCCCTACACTGTTTTGTCCTTGCTCTTTTCTTTTCCTACACTGTTTTGTCCTTGCTCTCCTTTCTTTTCCTTACATTCTTTTTGTCCTTGCTCCTTTCTTTTCCTCTCATTCTTTTGTCCTTTCTCCTTTCTTTTCCTACATTCTTTTGTCCTTGCTCTCCTTTCTTTTCCTACATTCTTTTGTCCTTTTTCCTACATTCTTTTGTTTGTCCTTCTTTTCCTACATTCTTTTGTCCTCTACATTCTTTTGTCCTTGCTTCCTTTTCTTTTCCTACATTCTTTTGTCCTTGCTCTCCTTTTTTCCTACATTCTTTGTCCTTGCTTCCTTTCTTTTCCTACATTCTTTTGTCCTTTTCTTTTTGTCCTTGCTCTTTTCCTACATTCTTTTTGTCCTTGCTCTCCTTTCTTTTCCTACATTCTTTTGTCCTTGCTCTTTCTTCCTACATTCTTTTGTCCTTTCCTTTTCTTTTCCTACATTCTTTTTGTCCTTGCTCTCCTTTCTTTTCCTACATTCTTTGTCTTGCTCTCCTTTCTTTTCCTACATTCTTTTGTCCTTGCTCTCCTTTCTTTTCCTACATTCTTTTGTCCTTGCTCTCCTTTCTTTTCCTACATTCTTTTGTCCTTGCTCTCCTTTCTTTTCCTACATTCTTTTGTCCTTGCTCTCCTTATTTCTCTCCTTTTTTCTCTATTTTTCGTTCATCGATAATTTGCTTTTAATCTTTCTTTCCAATTTGATTCCTTATTTCCTTCTATCATCTTTTTCTTTTATGAAATTTTAATTTTAACTTTTCTTTCTTTTTCTTTTGTCCTCTTCCTTTAACAATTCATATGTTTTTATTTTTTATTCTCTCCCTCACGGCGAGGTTATATTTAAAAACCATATTTCTTTACGACCCCTTCATGTTGAAACACCGGTTCCTTGTACGATCACCGAAGTTAAGCAATGTCTGACCTGGTCAGTACCTTGAAAGATTTCCACTTGGTAATACCAGGTACTGTAAGCTTAGATGTGCGAAAGATGTAATGAATAATGGCTCGGAATCAATTTTGTTTCTTTTTTGTTTTTTAATTAGGCGGAAATACCCTTGGAAAAGTTATAAATCCACCTATTCTTCCTCGTCAGCTGTGGGTTATGTAATAAGATTTGTATAACAACTTTTTTTAAAAATCCGTACAAAATATTTAGATTTCGACATTACATTAACCATAACATTATATTTCGAAAAAGCTTTAAATTGCAAATGACATTTTTTCTTCTAAATCTGGTCTAATTTCTATTAAGATTACGTCCACGGATAAAAAAATCCTGGAGAATTTTCTAATTATCTTACAATTATCTTTCTATACAGGTTAAATAAATTCGGTAAGAAAACACTTCCTCATTGCATTGTCCGTTTGGTTTTAGATTATTAGCTCAAATCATTGTATCTTTGGAGACTGTCAACTGGGGAAAAATACCGCTCAACACCGCCTTCAGTGGCAGCAGTTAATCTGCAGAAGCTCTTTTGACATATAATGCTACATTAGCTCATCAAAGAGATGCTAAGTCAACACAGTGGAAGTGTAAACAACGGGAGGTCATTAAATGATTAACTTCAGTGGGACAAGTCGATACCTACAACATCTGTCATTAAACTGTGAGGCACTTAATGAGAGTCTGATTCAAAAGAATGGAAAATCAATGTCATTCCGAGGCGGGATTGCCGATGATTGAGATCCAATAGGTCGTTCACAATACACAAAAGGGCTTCTTTACCTAACCTTTCCAAGTAGATTGAGTTTTTCTAACATTCCAGAAGCATTTTCGTCCTATACTTTATTGATTTTTTTTTTTTAATGTAAAATGTGTCTTTTCACTGGATTTATGCAACCACGTCAGCGAGGCTAAGGAAACTGGTGACCCTACTAGGATTTGTTATTGGTGGACGCAGTATAATATACGAAGATTTCAGTGTGTTCATGGCAGAGAAACTAAATAACTTGTTACATACTGTAATAAATGAAAGCGAGAAAAAATATAAGAAACCAATGTATGTTAGTCAACAAGAGAAAAAAATGTCCAAGAATCGTAATAAGATTTATAGATTTTTAAAAAATAATCAGATAAGTGCAGAAGTTTAAATATCTGTGAAGTGTTTTAACAGCGAAGGGAGAATGTGACACAGAAAACCGAAGGCGCATCGAAATAGAAAAAGATGCCTTCCAAAAACGAAGCAAAGTATTAAGAAACAGATTTTCTTAGAAACAAAGAAAAATGTGCTGAACTACCACGTAATATCAAGCCTCGTTTGAAGCAGTGAACGCTGGACAATTTCTTCACCAATAAACAAAGTGCGGTATGCGACAGACATATGGTCCTACAGAAGGATTTTGAGAATTCCATGAAGAGAGTACGTAAGCAACGAGTACGTTTTATGGTAAATAGAAAAAATGAACACTTATACTCAAAATCAGAAAGAGATACATTACATTTCTTGGCCACAGAGTGAGGAAGGATAGTTTGGATAATTTGACACTCACAGGATATTTCGAAGGTAAAAGAGACATTAGCAAAACAGCAGGAAAACTATCTAACCAGTGTTTTGTGAATCGTTGGCGGAATGGTTGGGATGGTAAAAAGACAAACGTTACTAAGAGCTTTTTTTTAATCATTTCACCCCAAGCAAGGTGATAATGTTTCTAAAACGTATTGGACGACAGAGAATGAGATGACTTTTGAAAGAACCGGAAACCCACTCCTAAACAGGAAACAAGGGATGAATCTCTACTCCTATTCAAAAGACCAGAGAGGAAAGTGAACCGGACGACAGGCGAACCTATCTAGTATACAAAATAGAAGGCTGTGGAGCGCCATGGTGACCCACGTTCTGAAGGCACACGATGAATAGATGATGACGAAACCTATGTACAGGAGTTATTGCATCTCCATTGATCGTTCTGGCAGCATTCTGATCAAGAATATAACATCTTTTTGTTACATGAACTGGAACAAAACTGCAGTGTTCTATTTCATATACTCATTTTTAGTCGTATTCTGTGGATCACCAAGCTGATTGCCTGGCAAAAATAGGCGCAAGCATTGCTATTTCTTGGTTTCATTATTTATTTGAATGCGTGTTTTAGTGCGCTCATGCGCCTGAACATGCGTATGTTAGACGCATTATTTTCGTGCAAGTGTATTTTGAAAACCATCTTGAATAAATTATTTTACTTGACAAAACTAGGTTAAATATCAACTCATTGGCGAACGTTTGACCATATATTTCATCATCACTGTTCACTACCAGATTTATTTAGCAATAAGTCAATACTTCCTTGGGCCAGTGTGAAATGAAATTTATGCTTGACAGCACAACTAATTTTTAATATCTGCTTTGGAGGCCATAATTAATCTGAAATGTGAACAAAATAATCCTCGTTTGCTAGAATATGGCTGTACATCACATCTGGTCTGTTGCTTCTGCTTTATATCTAGAGATTCTTGACAAAATCCAAAAGTACAATCTACAGTCTTGACCTGGCATTTCTGTTTTAATTAATTTTATTTTCTGTTTTAATTACTTTTAATTACTATCTTCTCTCTGCCATTTGTATAGATATTTTCATGTCATATTTGCACTATTTACATTGTTCGGACTGTTGTCTTCTTCTTTATTGTCATATTCACGATACTTCGGCCGCTGTACGCCCCAGCCTTCTTCAGGTGACATACGTTGGAATTACGAATCGAACCCTTCGGTAAATTGTTCTAGTTCCACGGGCCATGCCTTTTCTGGATATTTTTTTTTATCCATTGGGCCATGTGTACTTGGATCCATCGTTGTATGGACATGGCCCAGTGGATAAAATCATTGGTTGAAGTAATCCAGTAACTTAGGTTACTAAAAGGACATAACTGAATGTAATAGATCCATAAAAGGCATGGCACGTGGAACGAGAGCAATCAACCCATGTGGACTAAAGGGTTTGGTTTGAAATTCGAACGTATATCACCTGAAGAAGGTCAGTGTAAACAACGGCCGAAACGTTGTGAATATGACAATGATAGATATCTTGTCATGTCAGTTCTTCTGATGAGCTTTCTTCTTTGATACATCCATTTCACGAAATATATAACAGTTTTTGATTGGCATTTAGATCACATGATTTTACCGCTGTACTTGCTAGATGTATGCCAACAGATTCTTCTCTTACACTTGTTGAACTCCCTTCCGACTTCTTTGTTTCCCGTCAACTCCGATCCTGAAAATTTAAATGTAATATCAATCGTCATATTCTGTTTCCTTGTATTACGTTCTTCTGTTGTAAATTCTACACAATAACGCTTTCCCAGATTCTTTTTTTTTCTCGGTAACTTTTGGTGTCTTTGCGACTAATTGCGTTGTTGAAAGGATTTTTAAAATGTCTGTATTTTCTGATTTACACATACGAAATAAGAAAAAAAAACGAAATAAGGAGTGAAGTATCTGTCTCGAAATGAACAGTGGATTTTACAAGACGGAGAAAATTAGCTTCAGAAACACAACGTCCCCTGAAAAACGTTAATCATGTCGACACTTCAGAGTGAGACTTAAATTGACAGATGGCATTTTGGTACACACTTGGTTAATCACTGCAATTTCCTTCAAGTGAATGACAATCGGCTTGTAATTAGAAGTGGTCTGAAGTTCTCAGTATGACAATATCAGAGTCGGTGAAGACCTGACGGTTCTGGACAGATGCCATACATGACTCAAATAAGCGTGCATCCAAAAACAAGCGTCAATTGAGCTAATTTTGCTGTCTAGGTGAAGTGAATTTCTACTCGCTACGATTTCTTTTCAACGAAGAAGATGGCGGTTATAAATAAGCTCATTACTTGCTTACATATATCTTGTTAGCAATCAGCCATTCATTTATTGGGCAATTCAAAGGCATTAAACTTACTTCTAAAGAGTAGTCAATCTATTTATCTCTCTTTCTCTCTCACACACACACACACCAGGAGGCGCTTCTCCACGACTTCCTGTTTTTCGTTATTCTTAACAGCTCTGGTTCCCAACAAACAGTTCTCAAATTTGTTAAGTTAGTTTCTTTTAACGTTATTATACACCCATATAAGGCCCAAGGCCGACTAAAGTTAAGTTAAAGCGTTACTATATGGGGATGTTATATGGACGTGAGAATTTTAGATTCTAAGTATATGTAACGAAGATAACAGTCTTTGATTTGAGTAGCCGAGAAACATTTCCTGGAGTCTCTTGCAAAAAGGTGTTCATATGGTAGCATATATATATATATATATATATATATATATATATATATATATATATATAGCCATGAGTCTCGTCACAGTGGCTAGCACGATGTCACAAGTCATCGTGACAGCGGCTTGAGTGTGTTGGCGGTGTTTAGATTATTGATCATGCAACAAAACACGCTCTCTTCCAGGAACTCTAAGGTTTGCTCAGCATAGTTGCAGTATATAAACCACAGGTTGGATCTGTGGGTGTTCAACAAACAGATGTGTCTGAGCAAGCGTCTGCAGTAGGGATTGGCTAGCCGCTCAAGTAGACGAATATCCTCGAATACGAGTGGCCAAGTATTATATCTATCTATCATCTATATATATATATATATATATATATATATGCCAGTTCAAGGGGGGTAAATCTGGTACTATAAAAAGTTACAACTATCAGAATATCGATCACTTTTGTATAATATTTTAAGTTCCCTCGACCATTTTTTTTTCTTTACTCTGGCATTTCTTGTTTCTTTGTATTTAATAGTTTTTCTCGTTCATTCCTTCTCTTTTATGTTAGTTTTTTTGGAGTTATTCTTGGTCGCCATATTTTTTTGAGTTCTTTTTATTCAATTTTTTTTATTTGTCCATAATTCCATCTAATTCTGATATTTTGATCTCTAATCTGCCTTGTTATATTTTTCAATATTTCTTTTCGAGAGGTTGCAATTGAATGAATTTCTATGAAAACTAATTTCTCTTAGCAGCGCAGTATTTGGGGCACAAAACTGCAAATTTAGGTCAAGCCAGTAAGTTTACATTGGATCACTGAGTATACTTTTCATAACTTTTTGTGAAAGAGTGCGTCTTTTATTTGTAGTGTACATATGAATAATGTTATTTGTAATGCCAAAGTAACTGGTGAATGCATTTATAAATATTGCTTTACTGACAAAAGAAATACAATATTTTTTATTTCATCTTTCGAAACAAATCTAGACTGTTCTTATATTTAGGAGGCTATTTGTATTGTTATTTTTAAAGTTTATGAAAAGTTATTATTTAAAAAGATTTGTATCATAAACCAACTCAATTATTTGTGCTTATTATCTCAATAAATTTTGGCTTGGCATTAACAAAAATAACTATTTTTATCCTTGCAGTAACATAAGTTTATAGATTTCCATTGTAAAACCTCAATCAGGAGAAATATACGAAAAAAATATTGATTTTTTTTTCTTTGCTTTGACGTCACCAACTGGGTTGCAGTCTGCATTATAACTGACTGTAAACATATAAATATTGCCCCATGTATCGATTGAATCCAGCCCCCAGCAAGGTGACAACGCCACTAAGACGCAAGCGGCTATTGCAAGTGAAAGTGGAGGAAGAGACTTTAGAGGGGATCGGAAGCCCAATAAGATTGAAAGATTTCAGAGTTTAGGCGGAGACTTTACAAGTATAGATTTGAAGGAAAATTTAGAAGGAACCGGAAATCCAATCCTAAGTTGGAAATAAGGGATAAACCTCTACTCCTGTTCAAAAGACAGGGGAAAAATATGAACCGGACGATACGTGAACATATCTCCTCGTATTGGGAAAAATGTAAATAGTAAAAATTTCAGAGTTTAGACGGAAATGTTAGAAGTATAAAGTTGAAGTAGATGCTAGAAGGAACAGGAAAACCAAACTTAAATAAGAAGTAAATCTCTGCTCCTGTTCAAAAGACCGAGGACGAGTGTGAACCGGGCGATAGGCTAACCAATTATAAGGCTTTTCTTTATTGAAAAATGAACAGAAATTCTTCAATACCACTCAAGATAACTTATTAATATTGGTCCCAAAATATATCATAACGGGCTATCCTTTGGTATATAATATATATATTTCTATTCATGGAAATATATAAAACTTTTCTCCAGTATTGTATTTGCTTCAGCAACATTTTACAACATACGTTTATTCAACAAATGCATTATAATTTTCATTTCAATGAAAAATTATATCTTCAGTTCAAGTTTTGATTAAATGCATATTATAACATTGATTGTCAGTAGGACAATATTTTACATAATTTTAATACTATAAGCATTTTTGTTTTGGGGATGTGTAAACACCCCAGGGGACTATGTATTTTCGGAAATCCAAGGTTACTAAAGTAGGGTTACGGTCAGCAGGGTCTAATTTCACTCCAGGAAAGAGAACACTCGACCTCTCTTCCTCACGTATTTTCCATCAGCTACATGATGGCCGTCTACATATGTACTTTAATATAATTTCTTGCTTTCGTTTTTGTTTTTGGTTTTGTTTTTTTTTTTTTTTTTTTTAATTTATGAGAAATAAATTTAACAACTCATAGTAGAGGAAACCACTTCCCCGCCGAAAATTTTTGCCTCCTGTATCTATGAAGTTGATGCGAACTAATATTAACGCAAGGAAATGCGCTTTTACCAGTTGTCCCCGTCTGGAGTCGATGTACTCTTTATTGGTAATACCCGAGTAACGGACTTGCTTCACCTCTTCCCCTCTCTCTGTACGTAATAATACTTTTGTGTCCTTCAATTTGAGAATCCTCGTCGAGAGGATCAATGCTTTGGTTAGTGAATTTTGTGGCATTGTAATTCTAAATTCTATACAGACGGATATATTTAGACTCCACGTAAACTAGATAAGTAATAGCTGAGCTGTAGAATTAAGAAAGACAAGATATCCCTAGACACTGAGAATAACTAAATCTTGTTTTCATTTTGAAATCCTCTGAAGGTTGTCATTAGAGACGGACATCTGCATAAACTCTGGCTAGAACTATTAACATCAACAGATGATGATGAAAAGAGGACATTAGTACAACTCTAGATAATAAAAATAAAGAATAATTAAGAATTTACTATTTATGTTTTCTGTTTTTCATCTTTTTTATATTAATATAGTTAATGTCTCCTCTTTTGCACTCTGTCTCTTCAGGATGTGTACGTTCATGGTTCTTCACAACTTCCTAATCTTTGTAGCATGTTTGTCTTTTTCAGTATTCTACCAACACAAGTTAATTAGTTTATTCTCTATTTTCCTGTCATCTACTGCATTCATTATGCCCTGTGAGTGTCAAATTTTCGAAATCTTCTTTCCTATGTTCTGAAGCATATATCACAAAGCGATAACCCAAGGCTTTCTACTGTCTGTCATAATAACGTTATGTAAATTTAGAACCGAAACATTTATTCAACCAGTGGTCTTGCTTCACCTCTCTTTACCTGTCGATCGCAAAGGCTCACAAAATCAAATCAACGCAAATATATATATATATATATATATATATAATTGAATAAATTACAAATAATGTCTGTTTATTTTTATCATAATCCTTTCATATTCACGAATATTTTCCGTATATTACCATTAAATTATTACGAAAAAATATTCGTAAATATGAAAGAATTATGATAAAAATAAGCAGATATAATGTTTATAATTTATTCAATCAGACATTATAAAAGAGAATTTGCTGCCTAAATACACACACATACATACATACATACATATACATACACATATATATATATATATTTATTTCAATACTCGACAGATTGAACGCACGATCACTACGTAACATAAGCCATTTAATTAACATTTTTATCTATTGTAGAATTTGCTGGTGGTACTTGAAGCTTTAAATCTAATGTTACTTGTCTGTCTCTTTAACTGGACCAGAGCATTGTATATATTTGTGCATAAACCAAGATGTGTGACAAAAAAATCGATGATAAAATGGTGGTTACACTTACATTCGAGGTCAATATTTGGTCGATTTTCAACAACTTCGGTATAAATGTGAAAAAAAAAGCGTCAAACCATCTGGAGTTTACAATAAATTTTTGGAGATTTTCCTAACATAGAATTTGAAGTTTTTTAAATTGTGAAAATATTGTAAATTAAAAATTTGTGTTTCTAATTATTCTGTGAAATTTTTATGTACTACCGTTTAGTATTTTTTTCTTTCGCACAAGTTTTTATTTTTCGATTCTACCTATATACGTGCATCTTGTTAACGATAAACGCATTGATAACTTTTCAAAAATGGATCTGATCGTAGGACATTGAATAATTTCCAAGTTTATTAAGGCACGCGTTTTAATTGATTTATATGTTGAATAACAGCCTGTGATATACACAATATGGCGCTATGATTGTCTGCTAAAAGAAAGGAAACAAAGTATTGAGAAATTTTGTAATTTTATAAAACAAATGAAATGGTTAAAATAACAATAAGGGAGTTATGAAACAAAAACTTACTCTAAATGACAATTAAAAAACATTTTATAGATCAAAATATTAAATCTTTATTAAAATATTTTCCACTCGTGGGAATTTACAACACCACGCCATCTGAAAATAATGCGTTGATTAACTGCCTAGTATTATACAAGGGATTTAGAGTTTTGCCTATTTCTCAAACATGAAATATACAGAAGAATTTACCTTCTGTGTCCTTGTGTGGTCAGAATTAAATGGTGGAATTTATGAGATTTTGCTCTAAGTAAATTTTGCTTTTTAAATGAAGCCTTTCAAATAAAATTTATACGTTTACCTTACGTTAATTAATTATTTGAAAACCCCAGACAAAAATCTATCTTCTTGAATACTCTCATATCTGATATTTTCAAAGGTGATTTTATTTCCTTGTTTTTTTTTTTTGTTTTTTTTTTTCTCGTAAATCATGACGATACTTTCCAAGATGAGATTAGTACAGCACAAATGAGTACAAATGGTAAGATTGTATCTGTCTATATTTCTGAGATGATGTATTATGTACACTATTTACATTATTCGGACTATTGTCCTCATCTTCGTCGCCATATTTATTTCAACGTTTCGCCCGTTGTACGATCCAGCCTTCTTCAGGTGGTTGGAATGTCGAACTGAACCCTTTATTTCGCTCACTGGGTTAGACGTTTCTAGTTCCACGTACCATGTCCAATGGATGTCAGTTATCTCCTGTTAATTCCCCTCTCGAAGTTCTCCACTGCCTTAACCGGATATTGAACTCACACTCTTTGGGTCCTCTCACAGATCTAACCAACGCCTTTATCCACTGTGCCATGTATCCTTGAAGAAGGCCAGAGCGTACAACGACCGAAACGTTGTAATAAATATGGCGACAAAGATGAGGAAAATAGTCCGAATAATGTAAATAATGTGGTAAGATTGTGTTACTCTAACATTTGGGACGGTGAATTTGTTGATTTTAAAATTAATATCTTAAATGTTTTCTTTTGGTTTTTTTTTTTTGGGGGAGCTTTTTTTACCTAAATTTAAATATTGATTCTTTTTGTTTTCGCTCCTTTCTTTAAGGTTTTCTCCGAACAAGCATTTTCTTTTTCATTCACACCATTTACCATTTCTATTCTCATTAGAACTTCCTTACTGTTCCCATACTCTGCCAATGGTCTTTTCACCATTCATCTTTAGAATCGGCGGAACGACATCTCGGCAGCCTGAATTTTTTTTTTTTATTTTATTGTGACAAGATTTTTATTGCCTTGGTTGTCTATCACTCTTGTCATTATTTCTAATGTTATTTTTCAGCTTTTCTTTTTACCAATCATCCGCTAAGTGATTTCCTATGCACTTTTGAATTTGTGTCATGCTTCCTGTCGTCTGTTCGTAAATTACCAAGAATTTCGGCCATTGTTTAATTTTCAAGTCCCCGAGGTGTAAAACGCATGTTGGGTTATCCATTTTGCTCACTATTAAGCAGCCCGTCTTCTTAAAATTAATAATATCTTCTCTCCTCTCCACGACGTTGCATAATTTTTATTTCCTTTTCCCTTTTGTATTTACTATAAATACTGTGTCATCAACGTAGGCTACGTCGTTAAGGTTACATCTACAGATAATAAATCCTAATTCTCTGAGACATATTTGGTTTTTCATTATTTGAAATATTGTTTCTTTTTCGTTTTTTGCTTGCTTTTTTTTTACTTGAATTTAAATATTGATCCATTCTATTTTCGCTCCTTCCCTTTTTCCTCCGAATAAAAAATTCATTTCTTTCCTTTTATAATCCGGATTTTAGTCTTTTCCTGATTGTTAGATTTGCTATCATGTGTTTTCCGTTATTTTCGTAATATTTATTCTTCATTTCCACTGTAATAATAAAATTTCTCTCCTTTCTTTATTACATTCTTTTGTCCTTCCTCTCCTTATTGCTCTCCTTTATTTCTCCTCCTTTAATATTCTGCTTTTCATTTTTCTTCATAATCTGATTTCATATTTCGTTCTTTTGTCCTTCCTCTTCCTATGGCTTTTCCATCATTCTAAATATTCTACTCATCTTTATTTTATTCTCTCTTTCTTCCTATTCTTTTATAATTCTTTAGTATTCATTTTCTTTACTATTCCTCCTTAATTTAGCTCTTCTTCTTTTTTTCTTCTTTTAACCTTTCCTCGGGTTTTGTTCTTTATTCTCTTCTTCACTGCGTCCTTTTATTTACAAACCATCTTTTTTTCTTTTCATAATGGCCGCAATTTACAAAAAAAAAATGGATATAGCGTATTCTTCTGTTGACCTCGTAGTACAAGTTTTATTGGCGTATTTCTTCTTGATTACGCCTTTTCTTCCTCCCGCCTTGGCTACTCTGTAATTTCGAAACTATCCTTGTTCTGAGAATATGTCTTCGATTTACAATCAACCTGGCAGGAGACCAAAAAAACATCACAGCAACAACTACAGTAACAGCGAAAAAAAAATGGTATCACCAACAATAGGTGTCTAACCCAATATTTCTTTATTTATGCAGTAACATATGGAATAGAATATGTGTATATATACAGGTTATTATTTCGTTCACACACACACACATATATATATATATATATATATATATATATATATATATATATATAGTACACTATAAAATCTAAAATTACTTCATATTGGGAATAGACCTATTTCAGCCGACGAAAACTTAGTCAGTCTTATTCCCCCCGTATTAATAGGATTCACTTGGATTATATACCAACGGATTATTAAATACAGACACACATATATATATATATATATATATATATATATATATATAGTGTGTAAGGGTAATAATCCGTTGGTATAGTGGTTTTCCAAGCGTAGCTTAGATGTGGCACAAGGTCGAAAGTACGGTGCACCCAGTGAGGATCGAACTCATGACTCAGTTGTAATTGTTCCAGCGAGACAAGCTTGCTAGCCATTACACCGCCTCGAGGTGCCCATAATCCGTTGGTATATAATCCAAGTGGATCCTATTAATACGGGGATGAATTGGACTGACGAAGTTTTCTTCGGTTGAAATAGGTTTATTCTCGGTATGGGGTAATTTTAGATTTTATTGTGTACTATGTATGTATATATATATATATATATATATATATATATATATATATATATATGTCTGTGTTTATGTATGTATTAATTAGTACATATAAGTGTACCTACGTTTTGGCGTGCGACTATAGTTTCGCTGTCTTTAATTTTAAATTTGTAATTAACTTTTTCTTCCCTCATACTTTTTAACCCCCCCTCATATTCTGCTAATTTTTTTTCTGAGAAATGTAAACCACCAGCATCGCATTTAGCACACTCCTGTGCAACTTTTTATATTATTTTTTATACACTACGTAGCAGTGAAACTCCCATGACCCATTTGTTTACTTGCGGCAACATCGACCCCGTGCCCGATGAGCTTAGGACACCACCCAGCAAAACTATAGTCACACGCCAAAGCGTAGGTACACGTATATGTATTAATTAATACATATCTTTGCTCTGAATAATCGCATTGAGCAGTACTACGTTTACACCTCATGCATAAATTTGACGATTTTTTATTTGCTTGCCTGTGTATGCACACCAGCACACGCGTACACGATTGATTATATTTGGCCGTCTCATTTATCCAATCTACAACTATATATAGTGATTTTCCAAGTCTAACTTAGATGTTGTACAAGGCCGAAAGTAGGGGTCACCCAGTGAGGATCGATCTCACTACTCAGTCGTAATTGTTCTAGCGAAACAAACTTGCTAACCATTACACCACCTCAAGGTGCCCCTCTATATATATATATATATATATATATATATATATATATATATATATATATATATATATATATATATATATATATATATATATATATATATATATATATATATAGTAGGCTAATGAAACCAATTCGAGAGATATAATGGCAATAAAAATATTTATTTTGTATTAGACGTTTAGAGAAAATACTCATGATAACAAAAGATGTTAAAAAACAGAATTTTCGGACATGATTGTGTCCTTCCTCAACGAGAAATAAAATGAAATAGGATTTTTTTTCTTTTGCTTTTAACCACTATTGAAACTCACCTCACCCCATACCTCAAGTGGAATACATAAATATGATGTGTTGCTATAAATGCTTGGAAAATAGAATGTTCATTATAACGCACCAATAAGTCCCTGACTCTCCCCACCCCCACCCGCGATACTCGATGTTTGAGATATAATCACACCAAACCAAAAAAATGATTATTGCTGCCATATTTGGTTTGGAGCTGCCCAGTCCTTAATTTTTCGTCTTGATAGTTTAAAAGCGTCTACGCGGCCTTGTAGGTGATTAATTATTTTCAAATATACAGCACTCCCCCAACTGAAAAGTAGGGAGTTTCTCGCTATTCATGCACAAGGATGAATAATCCTCCTTTCCTTTGTATTCCATTAGTAAGAAGCGCTTGGACAGCTTTTTCCCATGAACTGCTGCCTTGTGTCATAGAATCCTGGAAGGATGTTTTCCCAGCCACTACAATCATGATTTTTTTCATGCCTGGAGTTAATCATCTTTTTTTCCACATAACCTCATGAACTTCACTATTTGTCTGTTCTTAACTGTCTTACAACACCCTAACATTCTACCTTGTGCCTTTTATTTTTATTAATCATTTCACCCGCAAGAAAAGCGGTAAAACCATGAGCACATGGAGGATTGAAGGGAATGAAAGAGAAAACGTGTCGGTTTGATGAAAGGGCCAAAGATGAACAGGGTTCATTGCATTTAAACCTTTGAAGATTGGGAAACTGGTTCTACAAGTGGGAAGTGCAAGAAAAGAAACTGAGAATAATTGGCGGTGGTATTTAACTGTTTCAACAGTAAAAAGCTGTCACCCAGATGCCAATCTAGTAACACGCTGAAATTCCTGTAGTCGGGGCAGTTGCCATGAAAATATTTGCAGAAAAGACAGATGGAAACTACATCACTGACGATAAGAAAGTTAGTGAAGTTCAGATTCCAAGTCAGGATCGATTACATTCCTAGCCTTCTTTGAGTTTGTTTTTTTTTTTTTTTTTTTAATCAAACTGGGTTCGGCTTTCCAGTTAAGCTATGTCTTAGAAATTACTTCCAAATAACTTATTTTAGAATGCCGATCATCAGCCCACAGGATATTTAAACATCTTGTGTTCCATTTACTTCTGACATTCTAGTCTATTTTGGGACTACAATTCAAACTATTGAACTCTGAGAGTGAGACAAAAAATGGCGGGTGCCTCTGAGAAACCGTTCATTTTGGATGAGGATTAGTATAAAAAAATTCCGATAATAGACTTGTGAGTTATGCTTGTTTGATAATTAATTGAATATTTTTTCTCGAGTCACGTAATTGCTAGAATACTGTGATACTAAATCTTCAAGGAGCTCATTCAAATTTGAACAAGGCATGTGCACCGAATAAAGTAAGCTATTTTACTCCAAACCAGTCTGCTATATTTCAACTTCTTTTTCACAGAACGCTTTGGTAGCACATTATATATATAATGTTTGTATGTGTGTGTAAATTGGTTTCAGATAGTGTATCTGTAAATGAACAAAATAAATAAAAAGACAAGAGAAAAAACTATTCGTAGCCGAATTGTTTCATCCTCTAAGGGACTTTATCAAGGCTAATGTAGGATGTATTTTCTTGCACGCGTTTATATACAACAGCGAGGATGCCATAACAATCTGAATTTTAGTCAGTATTCATTTGCTTAAAAAACAATTTTTTGTCTTACCAGACTTTGAATTATAGCACTTTGTGTCCTCCATATGTTTTCACTGACTTTTCATTTAGCAGATCAATATTCATAAACATTCTCAAATTTAAAAGCCTTAATAAACCAATGACATCTTCGCTCTTGTATATAATCACGTGCAATATAATAAATCCTACATTTGCCTGATAAATTCTTTTCGGAGGACGAAACCCGTCAGCTAAGAATAGTTTTTCCACTTCTCTTTTTATTCATTAATATATGTAAGTGTGGGCATTGTTGTCAACACTAAATGGTGACAGTCTCATTCATGTTTGGACACAATGGCCTGAAGACTGCGTTTTAGCATGAAACAATCTGTCGCCGATTATTGTCGACAACAGTCCACTTTTATATTTACATAGACTTTGTTAAGCACTTTTACCAATTAATATAGCATACACTAAAGCTCTATTTTTATCATATATATGAGAGAGAGATATTATTTTATTTTATATACGAAGAGTTAAAAAAAAAGACATTTTTATGGTTTAACGTATAAAAATAAAAATGGTCAATACTTAAAACAAAGCATTCTGTGTAAGAGCTAAAATAAATTTTGTCGGCTAGTTCCTTTGTGGTCGGGCATACTAGTTCCAGAATCTTTCAATTTGATAGTCTGAAGATCGTATTGAAACCTAGTCACCATGTAGGCCCTATTCGTATGTCCAAGCTGTTTATATATCTATAAACACTCTAGCAACGATATCAAGAACCCCGCTAAATATAACACATTTGCAACATATATAATGAATGTTTTATAACGATTTTCTCTAAGCAAATCCTTAGAAGCCTACGTTTTAATCGATGTAAAAATGTTAAGTTATTACATATAGTTGATATATCTTTCAATAAACACAACAAAAAACATGTCAGATATCATTATGCAAGTTAACGGTTTCACAATCAATTTTGTATTAACCAAAATATTTTGCAATAATTTCAGGACATATTTATTCTATAATAATCCCATGTAAAATTAAGTTTATCCCTTTCATGAAAGATTTTTACAGTAAATTATTTCATGGTGTTTTTCACGTTTCAATTCGACGGTTGTTCATAAAATTTAGATAAATACACACACACACACACACACACATATATATATATATATATATATATATATATATATATATATATGGAAGGGATTTTTTTTATTATCCGGTATATTTTGTATTACTTAAACCTTATTTCTAATGGATAACCGTATTTGAAGACATGTTCTGTTTATTAAGCAGTATATTTTTCATCTACCGGCCTGGAAAAATACTAGAAAAATATGCCGGAGAATGAATATATTTTCAATTAAGGTTTCTAGAATATTCAGGCCGGTAGATGAAAATAAATAAATACACTGCTTAATAAATAAACATAGCATCTATACAAATACGGGGATCCACTAGAAATAACATTCAAGTAATATTTTTTCGCTCTCTCTAAAATATATATATATATATATATATAT